TGTCTTGTTCCGCTGTAGTCATGGGACAACATCATCTACTTATTGTTGGCATTCTGCAAAATTGTTTTGTTCCATGGGAGCCAGGAGTATCGAGGAGGGGGGTGCCCCAAGAGACAGATGGAGTCTGACAACTGTCCTGGCAGGAGAGATCAGTCTGTCCACAAAGAGACCCCAGTCGCTGCTGGGTTCAGAGGCCCAGACTCTGAAGACAGAATCACCAAGAACAGAAGAGACCCCTCCCAGCAGCGGATGTGAATTCCAGTCTGGGAACCTGGAGAGAGAAACCAAGGCCAAGGTGAAATGTAAGAATAGCTTCCCCCTTCCTTCCAGCTCCCTTCTTCCCACACTCAAGATGTTAGAATTAAGCAATGTTCTTAACCTTTTCTTCCTTTGACAAGAAAGATCCCTGAGACTGCAGAGATTTTCTCTAAGCTTAGGAAAAAATTGCATTTTACTTACCAAAAGCCCTTCTTGGATCATAGTGAGAAGACAATAGGGTCGAATTGATCACTGCGCTCCAACCTGGGTGACAGAATGAGATCCTGTCTCAAAAAGAAGAAAGAAAGAGAGAAAAGAAAAGAAAGAAAAAAAAGAAGAGAAAAGAAAGAAGGAAGGAAGAGAGAGAGAGAGAGAGAAAGAAAGAAAGAAAGAAAAAAGAAAGAAAGAAAGAAAGAAAGAGAGAGAGAGAAAGAGAGAAAGAAAGATTACACTGATGTTCTCACATCAGTAATATGAGAATGGTTTAGAATGGTTTGGCAATGGCTAACTGATACAGCTACTTGCTAGCTCTTTGAATTTGGGCAATTTACTTAAACTTTCTAGGCTTTGATTTCTGTGTCTATAAAATAAGGATGATAATAATAGTAGCTAACTTACAGGAGTATCATGAGGATTACAGAAATTAACATATGTGAAGGTCTTAGAACAGTGCCTGCCACATACAAGCAGCTACCATTTTTTGAACACTTACTTCTAAGTGCTATGATAAATATTTTTCCTAAATGTTCTCATTGTCATCACAAAAGTCCTATGAAGACAATATTATTGTTATTCATATTTTACAGGAAAAAGTGAGGCTCTGAGAAATTGAGTAATGTGCTGCAGTTTACTCAGCTGATAATAGCATATGTGGAACTTAATTCAATTGCCTAACTTTCAAGCCTGCTGACTCCATGATTAGGTTATCCCACCCTGCCTGTGAGGCTGCCCCTTGGAACTGTGAGATTAACTGAGCTAAGGCAATTCTCCTCCCCAGCACGGAACGGTCCCTTAAGTGGCATTCCATTACAAATATAAGATTAATCCACACATTGTTGCTTTTCTCAAATATTAAATTAAATCATTCTCCAGGTTACAGATCAAAACTTGAAAACCACCAACATTGTAAATCAAGAAACATCTTTTCTAAATGATGGGGACTCCAACTCCATTATCCAGCACCTAACTGCTGTATATCTCTTACCCTTAGGAACACACCTCTGTTACGTAAATTTCAAATCTTTCTTTTCTTCCTTAAAGCAATTTGAATATAACTGGACCAATTTAAAGGATTCATGACAGCAAATTATTTTGCAGTCAGCAAGGCAATAGGCCCTGACACTTTTTTTTTTTTAATTGGAGTTTTGCTCTTGTTGTGCCAGGCGCAATGGCGTGATCTCGGCTCACTGCAACCTCTGTCTCCTGGGTTCAAGCAACTCTCCTGCCTCAGCCTCCCAAGTAGCTGGGATTACAGGTGCGTGCCACCATGCCCAGCTAATTTTTTTTATTTTTAGTAGAAACGGGGTTTCACCATGTTAGCCAGGCTGGTCTCGAACTCCTGACGTCAGGTGATCTGCCCGCCTCAGACTCCCAAAGTGCTGGGATTACAGGCCTGAGCCTCCACGCCCAGCCTCCGACACCTTTTTTCTCTCTTCTCTACAGCTTCCATTTTTAAAAGTAATTTCATCCCTATAAACTAAAGAATCTCGGTTTAATTCCTGTACCTGCTGGGCTGTCTTAGTAGTGATATTAATAATTCTCATTTCTATTAAAATTTCACATGTTTATTAAAATGCATTAATAAATAAAACTACAGTAAAACAACTTAAAGCCATTGGATGTATAATTCCAAAGGAAGAAGCCGAACTTTAAAAGCTTGCATTGCCTGGAATGGCCACAGTGAGGCAGTAGAAGGTGAGAGACAAGCGGCCTTGCACAGTCAGAGGGCACATACTTGAAAACAGCGTTGGCTGACCTGGTTTGCAGGAATCCCGTGGTCCCTGTAATACCCTGGCTTGCTTAATGCCTCCAGCCTTCCATTTCTTTATCTGAAATTCTGGAATCCTGTAAACGTCAGATGAAATATGGTATTGAAGCAGCTAAAAAAAAAAAAGTAGATTTAGAATCCTGAGTTCAAATTCTGATCCTGCCATTTTATTCAAAAAGTCAAAAGACTTTTTGACTTGACTAATGCCTACTGTATACAAATTACTGTACTAAGTACTGGGAATCAGATAATAGTAATAGCCAGTAGTCATGAGGCATCAACATTGTGCCGCACACTTTTATTTCATTCAGTGTTCCCAGTGAAGCTTACTCTTATTATCCTCATTTTACAGCTGAGGGGACTGAAGCTGAGGCTTAAGCAACTGAGGGGACTGAAGCTGAGGCTTAAGCAACTTTCCAAGGTGAATGTCCAGGATTCCAACTCAACATTCCGACTCCACAGCTGGGACTGAAGAACCGCTTTGCTGTACTCTCTTCTGCCCCATCTCACCAAGGTGAATAATATGACCCTGACCTTGAAGAGCTCAGTTTAATAGGAGAGCAAGGGCCATGAAGAAGGAAGTTATGGAGGAATGCCATACGTGCTACAATCAAAGTAAGAACAGTGTGTCTTAGTATCATGCAAGTTGGGAGCAATTAATTCTGTACGTCTCTGGACATCTGGGAAGGCTTCACTTCCCAGGAGGTGATGTTTTTGCTGGATTTTGAAAGTTGGCATTCTCCTCCTCATGCCTCAACCCCCAATTTTTTCTAAAAAAGAGGAGAAAGAGGTGTTCTAAGCAGACAGAACAGCATGTATAGCCACACACACACAAAGAAAAAAAAAGAGAGAAGGAAAAAGCCTGAGCGTGAAGGCCGTCCAGGCAGAAGATACGTCTGGAGAGGGACTTGGGTCAGGTCAGAGACTCCCTTGTGTGTCAGGATTAAAGCTGGACTTTATCTTAGAGTCAAAAGTGAACCACTGAAGGGTTTTAACGTAGCCACAAAGTGCTCAGATCTGTGCTTTACAGCTGAAGACTGGCACAGTGTGGAAAATGAACCAGCGCAGGGAGAGGCTGGGGTAAGGAGACGCGGTGGGAAACTGCGGTATCCCAGATTGGAGAGGATGAGAGAGTCCTCTAAGGAAGCCTTGGGGAGCCTGTGGAGAAGCTGGACCCATTGGGTCTGAGGGATTTCGATGTACTCAATACATGCATGTTAAAGGCATAAAGATGGAAGGAAAGTAGTAAGAAAGGGTGAGTGTTAGTACCTCCCTGTCTTCCTAGGTCCTCCGCTCTTTCTTCCCTTGTCAGTCATATTCCTCCACCCATCTTTCACAGACTGGATTCCCCCATGGCATAACTGAGTTCAGATCCCCACTCTGCCACTCACTGGCCGGCTGCCCCAAGCATGTCCCTCCCTCTCAGAGCTTGTTTCCTTCTCTGGATGATAAAGTGTTCAGACCCACTCCACAGAGCTGTTGTAAGAACTAACGGAGGTCAGGGCCTGCCACAGTGTTGGTCCCCTTCTTCCTTCCCAGGCCCTTAATTTCAGGATCCTCCCTGGTGTCACCCACAGAATCACTCCATAGATCTGTGCTTAAGACGTGATTCTATAGGGCTTTCTACCCCATGTTCCTGAAGTCTGATCACTTTACTCAGACTATCAGTAGGGAAGAAATAAAGGTCCATGTAAGGTCCAGATCTGTGTATAAACAGATCATTTAGCAGAGGAGAAACCATTTTTTTAAGTAGTGGTAATCAGAAAAAAGGGAGAGGGATTCAGTAGGATGAAAAAGGAGAACAGGCAGACAATTGGCAGAGAAAGAACAGACTTTGATCCTTGCACACCTACCCCCAGGGTCTCACTGTGTCCCCCAGGCTGGAATGCAGTAGAGTAGTCTCAGTTCATGGCAGCTTTGACCTTCCCCACACAAGCCATCCTCCCACCTCAGTCTACCAAGTAGCTGGGACTACAGGCATGTGCCACTACACCCTGCTAATGTTTGACTTTTTGTAGAGACTGGGTTTTGCCATGTTGCCCAGGCTGGTGTTGAGCTCCTGGGCTTAAGTGAGCCACCCTCCTCAGCCTCCCTCTCTCAGTGCTCTCAGGCATGAGCCACCGCGCCTGTCTCCCTATCCCTAAATTCTTTCAAGCACAGCTCAACCCTTATTCCCTCGGCCCACGGAATGGAGCAGCCTCATGTACAGAGTGGCTTCATATACCTCATCTCAGATACTTCTATGAAATTATAAAAAGAATAATAATTTCTTGAATATAAATTACAAAAGATTTGTAATTGAATGTAATTACAAATTACTTTTAAAAGTAAAAATCCTACAAAAGTCACCACCTAACTGATGATGTCCTGCTACTTGACCAAGCGGTACTGACCCCTGCACTGTTACAGGTAGAACTGGGAATGGCTCATGCTGAGTCCCAGCCAGGTGGGCAAAAGACATGAGCTCTGAAATGACAGTGGGTTGAGCCTAGTCCAATCCACACAACAGTCCAGCACAAGTGGGGCCGTCATGAGCTTCAAAAGTCACTGACCACAGTGGCCCTCGCTAGAGCCCATCCCCTTCTCTTGACGCTATTAGGTACCAGGTGAACATCAAGCTCTCCCTGTACTTCTGCCTGTGCCGCGGAAGCTCACTCGCCTGTCCTGTGGAATTCCCAAAAGCCAGCTCCTCCCCAGAGCTCTCCACAACACTTCCCCTTTTCCCCTGATCCGCACAGCATTTGGAGACAGGATGTCATATTTGACTTTTGTTTTTATTTTATAAGAATGTAACATGCTGAAACAGGAAAATGGGAATTGCAAACATCATTCGTATCTAGGAAACCAGCTCCATTTGCCACAATAAATAAATATTTAAACAGTGAGGAGTTCCTGACAGGCTCCAAGAGGTTCCCAGCACATTCAGAGGTAGAGTGTGGTGGAGAGAGGGAGACAGTCAGGCTGAAAGCCCTGCTGAGATTCTCCAGTAGAGGCAAACTGAGATTACAATAATAAATAACAAGAGCACCAACAGTAACAAAAACAATGTTATGACAATCACACAAAACCAATGATACAATACACTTAAATAATCTCCCAGAGGCGCTCATGGTGCACAGAGAACAATGTTGATGATCCTGGGCCACAAGGGGGCTGCCCTGGGTAATTCACCTCCAGCCTGGGCTCTGCTGCAGGAGTTCCCATGAGGAAATGTTTGTTCGGTGACGCCCTGAGGTGACAAGCAGGTTCTGATTATCCCCAGTCCTGCCCTTCCAAGCAGCCTCTCCCCCCAGCTTCTGCACTCTAAGGGCGCCATGGTCCTGGGCCACCTCTGCCCACTCCAGTGGTTCATCTCATGTCCGCAGGAAAGAAACATGAGGCTCCCCTTCTATCTCGGGGCATCTCTTTCTGCCTGTTCTCATACCACAAAAAAACACTGGCTGGATTTCAGCAGGACTCTCAGGGACTGCCAAGAGATTTGTTTCCTAGGATCCTTTTCTGCCTTGTTCCACACTGCGGGACATGAGAGCTGGAAAAGCCACTCCCCGAGGCCTCCACACTTTCTTGTCCTGGGCCCTGCCTCCAAGAGACAGCACAGAACTCAGAGAGTGCACATCCAGGAAAAGGCCCCTGGGGGGGCCTGCTCACAGGTGGACCCTGTTGCAACACAGGGTCAGGGGCCACCTGCAGGGGGTCACCCAGAACACTGAGGGTGGTTAACACAGGGTCAGGGGCCACCTGCAGGGGGTCACCCAGAACACTGAGGGTGGTTCAAGTGAGCCTCCTTTCAGGGCTGTCCACTGCCTTGGAAAGGGCTCACAGGCCAGTGTTTGAGGTATAAATAGCTCGCATGGGGCAAGAGTCACATCAGCTTGCTGGCCTTGACATGACTGCAAGGCTGGACAGACACACAGGAGTGTTACGAGGTACAAGCTAAGGGACTCTGGGCCAGCCCAGAGGCCAGTGAGGAGGGCCAAAGGGGAAGACTCCACACGCAGGGTCCTTTCTGTGCCCAGAACGTCTGGGAATTAGGAAAACAGGATGCGACCAGAGTCAACTGAGCAACAGGCAAAACAGCTGATCTGGGTGTCTTTCCTCCTCTCATTTTCACAGTTCCCTTTATCCACGTTTCCTAAACCACGCTAGAACACTTCCTTCGCCGGTGAGAACGAGAGCCAGTGCTAACCCCGTGCCACCTTTTTTCCCCCACAGAGAGCCCCACCAACCCTTATCATTAGCCCTTATTCACAGGTCCTGGAAGTGGGTGGCCCCTCTCCAGCATGAGTCCCACAGTATCTGAAGGAGAGATTGCTGCTTCCCAAACAGGCTGCTGGAGCGCTTTTTTTTTTTTTTTTTTTTTTTTTTTTTTTTTTTGTCCTCTTGCACTTGCTTTGCAGAACCTGCCTCCCACACAGGGGCAGCCACCTTGGGGATGGGTGACTCAACCTCTCTTCCCAGCTGGCTTCCTCACTGCCGTGGAGACTCAGGTGTGTGAGGGCTCGGCCAGGCTGCAGCTGGACGGAGTGGCAGAGGCGGCTGAGGCTTGGGCAGCCAGGTCCCGGTAAGCGGGTGACTTCAGGAAGCGTGGGTAGGAGTCCTTCTCCATCAGGGTACGTGTCTTCCCTTGAGCTGTGTCAAAGCATGTGGCTGTGACGGTTTGCAGGTTCATCCTAGTCAGCTCGCGGGTCTCATGGTCAATGTTGACCTGCGGGAAGGAGGACACGCACAGGGTGAGTTGGAGAAAAGGGTGGGCGTGGCTGAGGGAGGGCCAACAGCAGGCTGGGCATTGGAAAGAGCACCAGATGCTGCATCAGGAAGTGGAGGCTCCTGAATTGATCACTAACTAGCTTTTCGGCTCTGGCCTTGTACCCACATCTGATCCACTGTCTGTCCTCCAATCTCTCAGAATTAACATGAGGATCTATCAATAATGTATACAAACGCAATCCGCTTTCACCCTTTCTTCTACAGCAACCCTGCTTCCAGTTACTGTCGGCTCTCCTGGGATTTGCACCAAGGCCTCCTACCTGGTCTCTCTGCTACCTTACCCCCCACCACCATGGTCTGTTCTCTACCCGGCAGCTACAGTGAGCCTTTAAAAGCCCAACTCAGTTTGGTAGCACCTCTGTTGTCTCCTCATGTCTTTCAGAGGAAGAGTCAAAGGGGTTGCTGGGCCCCCGAGCCCACACCTGGCCATCCGCCTCGTGTCTGACCTCATCTCCTGCTCTTGCCCTGCTCTAAGCACGTCCACTTGCTCATCTGTGACTGTGACAGGCAGGCTCTGGCCATGGCATTTGCTGCTTCCTGTGTTGGAATGTTCTTCCCTCCCTGAATTCTTTCATATCTCTGTTCACATGTCACCATATCAAAGAGCCGCTCCTCACTTCCCTTTACAGAATGGAAAACCTTACCTCCTGCCAGGCCCTGCCTCTGGTACTCCCTCTCATTTCCTGCTGTAGTTTTATGAGTGCATAGCTCATCACCTGGCATATATTTGTCTAGTTGGTTATTGGCATCTTTCCCCATTCAAATTATAAGTTTCATTAGGGAAGGGACTTTGTTTGGTTCACTGTGACATACACAGTGACTGTAACAGTGTCTTGAATATAATTGGGGCTCAATACACCTTTACAGAATTATGGGGAATCAATCAGCGGTCAGAAAACAAAAATAAGGTACAAAAGTAAGGCATTACTCTTATCTCTCCACCAGGTGGCGCTGTATTCTTTAGCAAATGCAGCTGCCATGCATAGTGGCCGGGAGGGAAGGTAGACAAAAAAATCACAGACTACAGACCTGCAGGCCTCAGGCAGGTCAGCCTGGGGACTGAGCCAGGTTATATAAGGTCCCTGTGCTGACCTTGACTCCCCAGTTGGTAAGTGTTTTGAGCCTCTAAAAAGGGATGGATTTATAAAGATGGGTATGGATAGAAGCCGAAAAACCTGCCAATCCATCCTGCCCCATCATGAGTCATAGGGTTAAGCACCCAGGAGTGGCACTGAGCCCGGCTTTTCTAGTTTCTGGTCACAGAAGCCCACTCACCCCTGTGCCAAGTAAGGCCCTTCTACTTCTACACCTAGCCTTTCCTCCCCACTAGCCCTCACTCTCAGAGGGGAAGGAGCAGGCAGGGTCGTGAGGATTCACTGGGCATATGGGAGCTCTAACCTCTTTAGGGGCCTCGCTGCAGATGAACTCCTCAAAGATCCGGTGTGCCCTGGAAGCCCGCTTGGTAGCTGATTGGATCTTCTTGAACTCCTCACAGGCCAGCCAGAACTCCAGGTTCTCCTCACTGAACTCCGTCTTCAGGAAAGCGTGGAAAGCAGCCACTCCATCTGGGGTTACAGGAAAGAGGCGGAAACAGGTCAGCCAGAGGGACAGCAGGGAATACAAGAAGAAAGGAAAGCAATTGCACTTAATGGCTCTATTTTTAGAACATAATTTTCTTGAACAAGGACCTGCCTTTGTGTGTTGAATAGAGGCTGGCACACTAGGGGATCATTATTATTATTATTACTACTACTATTATTCTGCCCAGGCTCTCAGCAGTCCTGGAGCTGGTTCCAAAGCACATGAGTATACACGTGCCACCCAGAGACAGACACAAAAGGCTCCTACTCACTTTTACTGCTCAGCAGCAGGTCGAACGACTCTCTCCACCCCAGCACATCTTCTGAGAAGTTTCTACTAAAAGACAAAAAGAAAAAAAAGAGTAAGAAAAAAAAAATCAACAAACCAAAGCATAGTACAAATTCTAGCCAGAACTCTGATGGAAAATTGCGTAAAATTCACAGAAAGGCTTGCTTGGTGATTGTTGAAGCTGACACCTCAAACTCCTAGTTGGACTTAGGGTAAGCAGTAATGTTTTCTAGAGGACAATTCGGCAACCAGAAATCAAAGCCAGGGACTCCTTCAGTCTTCAGTCAATATCTCTAAGCCTGTCTCTTCTCTGTCCAAAAATTATTTCAATTCCCCTGACTCTCAAAGATTTGTTTTGTACACCTTCCCAAGGACATAAGGGCCTCATAAATAGAGATTACATCTACACATAACTCCAGAGTTTGGTACAGTTGATAGCCAATATGAAAGGGTTTCTAGGCAAGGTGCATGCTAGAGTCATTAATAAAAACCTCAAGTGGCCTTGGACTCTGTCCTAGCCCTGGATGCATGTGCAATGAAACCCCAGGTGGGAGAGTCTGGTTAACTAGGCATTCGTGCCCTGTGTGCCCTCATCCGTGGATGGACTTGGAGCCCTGGAGCCACCTACCCACTCACCCATGAGCCAAGTAGTCATAACAGACCAGCAACAAGTCTCACTAAAATCTCTAGGGAGGCGTTGCCAAGATCCACTTAGTGTGTCCTGGCTTCTCCTTGTATTTCCCTCCTCATGACTCCCTTCCCGCTCCCTTCCCTCTTGGAGCCCTGAGCTGGTCAGCAACACTTACTTCTCTTTGCCGTGTTTACTGCCCCACTCGAACTTGCCACTACTCCCAGTATCGCAGCCCAGCTCTGATTTGTGAAGAAAGATCCCCAGACGTGTCTTGAACTCTTTGGCTCTGAAAAACAAATCAGGAACATGAAAGGATTCTCATTTGCTCAGCCAGTGTGGAGAGGTTTATGTGTCCCAGAAGAGCTCTGGGTGGTGCCACCCAAAGTTTAGCCTCAAGAGTTCCTGGAAACTCTTGGCTGTTCCCAGGACCCAAATTGTGCTTATCAGCATCATCAACCCCAAAGCAACAAAAGCAATGTTTGAGCTATGCCGTGGTAGACCTTACACTTTCTGGGTAATACACACACTGCATATATGGGCTTTTCCCTAAAGTCACACTGATCTCTCTTCGTGCCTGTTGATTCAGAAAAGAACTCAGCATTCTTTTCAGGAGTATTTCTGAACTGTGGGAAACTGATTCCTGCCTTCATCTTTACATTTTCCTTCCCAGCCAGTAACGACTGGAAGCTGTTGAGTTGCTCTCTGGAATATGGACACACCCTCAACAGTGGGATCCCCCTGCCCCAATACACCCCACAAAAAAAAAAAAAAAAAAAAAAAAAATCTCCCTGCCTTCCAGGGGCAGAGGAGGCAATGCCCCTAGCTCTGGTCTGAGGAATGAAAAACAAGTGCTTAAGCAATAGGCAGGCTCAGTTCTGCCTGGAAATGTCAACGTGGCCTTCCTGCAGCCAGGTCTTCAGCAGGTCACCTGAGCACGACTGCAGTTTGTCAGAGGATGGGGATGGCAGCAAGCAGCGGGCCCTTGCTTCCCTTCCCCTTGTCTTCTCCCTGCTCCTGGAATCTAAGCACGTGGCATCAAGTTCGCCTCTACCTCTCAACTTAAGCCTCCAGCGCCCCATGCCCGCGCCCACCCAGGTCCCCAGGCCTGCCGCTCCACTCCCTAAGAGTTGGTGGGACTTCCCCCAAGCAGTTGGACAAGCTCCCCTTACCTCTCCAGGCAGGTGGTGGGGAAGGCGGCCAGGGTACGGCACATGGCTGCGGGCGCGGGGCAGTACGTAGTGGGCAGGATGGTGGCAGGCTCCAGGAGGCTCCGCGAGCGCTAGGAAGCAAAGCGCGGTAGCAGGTGCTAATCAACTGGGGTTGACTTTAGCAGCCTGCAAGCACCCAGACTTCGCGGCCGCTGCTTTAATCCCCTCGGAGGAACGGGGCTGGGCACTGCTGACCAATCGGAGGGCGGGGCTGGGCGCTGAGAAGGCGGAGGCGGGGCCCACAGCCAGACTGGGCCGGGCGCAACTTTCGCCGCAGCTGGAGCACGCGGAGCTGCACCCTCCCCCCGGAGGACGCCGCGTGTGGAAGGAGAAGCGGCAAGAGAATTGGCACGGGGATGAGACGTGCACACCCAGTTTCCTAGGGAAAAATACCTGCCGACCTCTAGTAACAACAGGAAACTCACGCAGCGGTGTCGTGTTGGGAGAGTTTCCACGGGGCTGGTGGGTCTGAGAGGCACACAGGGCTTTGATCGCAGGCAAGTCTGAGCCTGCTGGGTCCTGAAGGACAGGCGCACAGGGTGCAAACCTGGCAAAACAGTTTCTAATTATACTGATAAGTACCCTTTACGAGGCTCCTACCCCGATGGACATGGGGCTAAGTAAGATCTTCTTCATCATCATCTCCATTTTATAGTTGAAGAAACCGAGAATCAGAAAGCTAAATAAACTTGCTCAAGATCACAGTTGGAGATGACAGACAAATGGGATAGGGATGAGTATTTTATTGAACACCTACTATGTGCCAGTCACATAACTAAGACTCATATTAAATAACTTGCTCAAAGATGTGCAGCTAGTAGGTGTTGGCTCCAAAATTCAAATGTGAATTTACCATTCTTTTTCCATTGCACCCTCCCCGCTCCCCCCTCTCCCCCGCTCCCCCCTCTCCCCTGCCCCACACACACCCGCAAAGGTTAGTAATCCAGTCACAGCTATACCTGTGGACGATCCTGGGTTTAGGTAGTTGCTACCTTAGTGTCTATCTCTGAGATAAAGGTAATAAATACCCTGCCTCTCTCCTCACCTTCCCACAAAGGCATTGGGATTGCTATTAAGAGGCTGCATGTGAGGTTAAGAGTACAGGGTCTAGAGTTAGATTTTCAGGTTTCAAGTCATGGCTCTGCCAGGTGACCTGCTGAAGACCCAGCTGCAGGAAGGCCCCGTTGACTGTTAACTGGCTCTGCCAGTTACTGATGGGAGACTAGGCAAACTGCTTAACCTTTCTATGCCCCCATTTCCTTGTCTCTACGAAGAGAACAACTTATTTCATAAGGTGGTTGTGAGAACTAAAGAAATTCTTAGTTTGAGTTCCTAGGAACCAGACTCAGGTAGACACTTGCATGCAGGAGGTTTACTGGGGAGAGTTATCAGAATTAAGAGGGAGTAAAGGAAGCAGGTCTGGGCAGAGGGAGGAGTTGAAGGCCATGCCATTTCAACAGAGACCCCAGCTGGTTCCAGGGAATGCCCTGAAGCTCAGCTGGCCCTTTGGAACTGTCCACTGAAGCAAGAGGACAAGGCCCTGGTAACCCCATAAAGACCATTCATTGCATACAGCTGCCCAAGAAGACCGCCTAATCTTAAGGCAGTGCCCTTTGTCGATCTATTCCTGGAGAGAGACTAACACCCTGGGAAATGATGGCCACAGTCCCCAAGACGTGATCTGGGTGGCACAGCACAGCATCTGCGACAACATATAAAGTGCTTATATGACAGTGCTCAACATGTAGTCAGCACTCAATAAAATGTTATAATAGCTTTCAGTTTTACTTAATAGGGATACTGGGATTGCTAGCAATAAGGAAAAATAGTGAGTTTTTGGTGCCTCTTGGAATACAGTATAGGTTTTTATTTCATAAGAAGCATCTAAGAGTTGCTATTCCCCAGCAAGGCCTGCTCTATGTTCCTGGAAGTCAATGGTCAGAAAAGAGAAACAAGGGAAGAAGAGGTTCCCCACCTAAGAGGGCTTGGTGAGAAGGTTGAGAAAAGGCAGTAAGGGAAGGAAAGGGAAAAAAACACAAAGAGGGAAGGGGAGACTGTGAGGTCGTGGTTGAGCTCTCTGGAGTAACAGAGGCCAAAATCAGAACACACTGCAGGGTCATTTGTCAATGCAGAGTTGCTGTTGAACCAGGGCCTGTAGCAGCTGACCCAGTTAGTCAAAACGTAAGCACTCTGCAGAGGTTTTTTTGTTTCTGCTTTTTTCAGAGAGGTGATCTTGCTATGTTGTTCAGGCTGGTCTTGAACCCCTGGTTCCTGGGCTCAAGGGATCCTCCTGCCTCAGCCTCCCAAATAGCTGGGACTACAGGTACATACCACCTAACAGAGTTGTTATCCTTCCCAAACCTCTTGGTTGATTGGTGGAGAACAGAGGCAGGCACAGCAGCAGCTCCTTCCCGTGTGGCAAACACACCTGGTAGCAATAACTGAAGCATACCCTGAGAATGGCACTGTATGGCAACATATATGAATGTGTGCTCCAAGCTCGGGAATCCAGAGTAGCCAACCTGGAGATTCATTCCTTGTCTACGAGGAACACCTGAGCCCCCAACCTGGCCCATGGAACACAAGCCATACAGGGAATGGAGGTCCTGAGTTTGGGTTGAATGAAGCTTGCCAGGTGGAAGCTGTTAAGGAAGGGTGCTAAATGGAAATGCTATACAAACTGCATGCCTTTTGCAAACAGTTGCGGTTCTCCTGCTCAGCCTGCTGCTTCTGGGCTATGAAGTTCTCTTGTCCAATCTGCTGATACTGGACTCTCTCCTCTGCAAGTCAGCCCCCAGTAAAACCTAATGTCTTGTTTGCTGGCTCTGGGTCTCTTCTTTGGCCTCTTGAACCTGGTGCCATCCCCACGAGAGTCAATAGAGGTTTGGCACAACACTCCTGTTGCAGCACTATCTCAGATGCCAACATCCCACCTTCACCCCGTCTTGCCAACCTAGGCTCTCATTCTTCCTATCTCACATGTGCAGGGCTGGAACGGTTTGGGGCAGGAATTGGTAATGAGCAAGGATTGGGAGCAGAGCTACGGGGTACAGACAATGGAAGGATGACTTTTTGAACATCTGTGTTTCTCTGGTGCCTTCATCCATCCCAGCCCCATCAGCAGGGCATTCTGCTGGAGGAGTTGGTCAGCCAGGTGAAGGTTGTTTGACCTGGTGCAGCTGAGGCCCCAAGGCATGCTTTTACCACACAGCTGGGATGTGGGTGTTGTCTGTGAGACATCTTTTCTCCATTTGACAAATACGAATTGATGGGTGGATCAAACCCAGTTTCACCCTCAGTAGCGCTGTATTTGAATCAGCCTGTACATGGTCATGTGACAACAATAAAATAATTACTTGGAAATCTCAAACCTTTCCATCCTTTCTGCATCCCTGCAAGTAGCCAGAAGTTTTTCATTTCCATTTTGCCTATACACAACAAAACTAAGAATACCTGAGGCACTCTTAGTTAAGTGTACTGGAACTGGAAATAGCTGGAAATTGGACCGTCTCCCAATTCCTGAGCTAGCACTTTCTCCTGCTCTGATAAAGAAAGCAAAATAAATGGTGCCAGGAGCGGTGGCTCACGCCTGTAATCCCAGCACTCTGGGAGGCTGAGGCAGGCAGATCACCTGAGTTCAGGAGTTCGAGACCAGCCTGGCCAACATGGCGAAACCCAGTCTCTATTAAAAATACAAAAACATACCCAGGCATGGTGCGGGTGCCTGTAATCCCAGCTACTTGGGAGGCTGAGGCAAGAGAATCACTTGAACCCGGGAGGTAGAGGTTGCAGTGAGCCGAGATCGCTCCATTGCAAAAGAAACGAAGGAATTGATGCACAGTGCACAGACCAGCAAATCTGAGAGCACAGAGCTCCCTACTCTAGATGAACGACCCTCTCCGAGTTCAACCTGCCTCTTTGTTGCCATGGTTACCTCTTCAGTTTCCAGGCAGAAACTTTTTGAAGTTCACAATTTATCCCAAATTCTCTTCCCAGCAGGTCGGTTCATATCTGCAGTTTCGGTAATGCAGGATGACTCGACAGTTGCTGTAAATCCAGCAAGTTGAGCTCGCTTATGAATTGCACTGGCTTTGACAAAACCTGACCTCATTTTTGCCCAGCACTCCCAGAGCAGCTGTGATCTCTTTAATGGATGGCAGCATGGGGGCATGGCTCTGCACCCTGGGTCATCCGGGGTCAGCAGTCTGGGCAAAGCTGTGGTCAAGATTAAATGTCCCACAGCGTCCCAGCCATATTGCCTTTCATCTCCTTCAGCTCCCAGCCCCCAGCACTACCCTTTCCATGGAGGCAGAAGTCTAGGTGGGGATCTTTGTCTACTGAAAATGGTAAGGGGAAATGAGAACACTTCCTCCATTTTTCTGATCCAGCTCAGATGATCCCCACAGTGGTCTAGGTCCTCCAAATTCCATCATCAATCTACATATTTCTTGTGTAGAAAGCAATCACATACATATTTCTTATGAATTTACTATATTCCCAAGTTGGTGGGAAAACAATTGCTTTTAAGACTCTTCCCTGAATTCAAGGACCTTATGATCTAGCTAAGGAAACAGAACTGCATGGTGGGGAGCAGGGAAAATGAAAGGAAATTATTGTTTGTCACAGAAACAGATATCAAGGGAAGAGGCTGATCAGAGAGGATTGACAGTATTGAAAAAGAAGTGATGGAGCCATGGTAGCCAGTGAGAAGCAGGAGAGGTAGAAGGAGGCATCAAAGTGAAAGAAACAGGAAAAGCTATTATCATTTGCAGGTACAGCAAAGGTGCAGAAAGACTAAGGAATTTATTAAATGCTGCAGAAGCACTTAGGGTTGTGGGACACAATTGGACGCCACTTTTAGATTTAAGAGCATATCCTGAGGCAGCTGAATGAGGAGGCAGTGATCACCTCCAGCAGAAGTGAAATAGGCAATCACTGGGGACATTTCCCTGCTGGTTCATGACAAAAACTTTGGGCACCCTTTCCTTCTTGATAGGAGAAGTTGACCAAGTTCAGCCTAGTTGTAGGAAATGACTTTTACTATGATTAATGATTACTGTTTAGGGTATTGGGTGCAGCTTGCTTTGCTGCTATATTAGTCCTCTCTGGTTTCTTCTTTTCCCTGCCTTCCCACTTCCCCCAAACCTAGACTTGGAGGATGA